TTTATTTTTATTTTTATTTTTTATTTTATTTATTTTTATTTTATTTTGAACAGTCCTTTTTAGTCCTTCAAACTGCAAAACAGAAATGCGTCACATTTAAAGTCTCCAGTCGTGATGCATGTCTGGTTTGCAGTTTGAATCAAACAGTCCCATCATCTATTTTGAACCTCTCGATTCTCAGAACTTGTAAACAGTTCCTCCTCTCTTGCTGGTGTCTTTAACTTACAGTTCAGATATAAGACGCGGGTCTACAAACAGACAAACCTGGAAGAGAAACAACTAGCGAAGCTACACACCAAGGTAAAAACAAGACAAAAAAGTATAGCTGCCACAACAGATCTTATATAATTGTAGAAATAGTCTTTTGTGTTTTATAGGAAGGAGGTGAAGTGTCTGTGTGTGTCTCCCTCTACAGGCCAATCTGAAGAAGTTCCTGGATTATGTTCATGCCGGAGCGGTGGAGAAATTGAGTAAAGCTCTGGAGAAGGGACTGGACCCCAACTACCACGACACTGAGAGCGGAGGTGAGACTGTGTGGAGGCTCCAAATGGTACTTTTGAAAATATGCCTAGACACACTTAATTGCAGCTTGCAGAAAACTGATTTTTTTTTCTCTCTTCATTTGTTAACATTACTTAACTACATTAGTTAACATGAACGAGCAAAGAAAAATACTTCTAAAGCATTTGTTAATCTTAGTCAATTTCAGCTATTACTAAAACAGTATTAAAAGCAGACGTTGTTAAAATTATTTAATGGAACAGTTTTATTAACTAATATTAACAAAGATTATTAAATGCTGTAACAAATGTATTGCTTATTGTAAGTTCATGTCAATACATTAACTAACATTATCTAATAGGACTTTATTGTAAGGTGTAAAATGAACATTAACTGAAATAAAATATATATATTAAAAAAATTATTTTATTTCAGCTATAGCTGCCAAAGCAACATTTCTCATTTTCGTTTAAAATACTAAAATAACTAAAACTAAGTAAAGTAATGAAGACTAATGGATGAAATAAAAAACATTTTCTGTTTTCACTTTCATTCTAGTTATTAAAGTTTTAATAATTGTTTGTTTTTGCCGTTTTTATATTTTTATTTTTTTTACCATAATAAAAATGACACACACACAATAAAATTACTAAAATTTTAACAAAAATTTAAGTGAAAACAGAAAATATAAAAAATAAAATTTAATTCAAAATATTTACAAAAACTGTAATAGTATAGCTCTGATACTGAAAAAGCACTGGCCTGGAGGTTAGATCTGTTTTTTAATCTAGTTATGTTATGGTAGATGTAGATTGAATGAAGAATATGTTTAAACCTTTGGCATTTTCAGTTCAGATGAGCCTCATCGTGTGTCAGAATCTTCTCATTTCATTGACTTTAGACTCAAAGCTCATTATGTTCACGATGAGTCTGTTCTCGTGATCTCTTGTGCTTTTTCACTTAAAGGATGCTTTTTATTTGATGTGATGTTCAGCGCACTAATTGCAGATCATGACGTTCTGGAATAAGCAGGAGTTCAGTATCGCTGCAGCTCATTGGTCAGTTTTTAATTGAGAGAATCCTTTCATATTTGTGGTTGCAACCTTAGATAGTTAAACATATTATTTAGTGAGCTGGATGCTGCACTGCAAGACAAAAATGAGCAGAAAAATGGACACAGAAAATTACCAAATTATTGTATAATTCTAAACGCAGGTAAAACACCTGTGAGGAATCAACACCGATTTTTTTCATATTAACACTGTACATATTTTTGCAGACTTTTCTTAAGAGTGTATGGGGTTTATGTATTTAACACTTTATTCTATACAGGTTGTTTCAAAGCAGCTTCACTTCAGCAATAAAACAGGAAATGTTTTACGAAATGAAATGTTTAACAAAAAACGAAAATGATATAAAACTAAATAAAAAAAGCTGCCCAGCTCATTTTATTTTATTTTGTGTTTAAGTGCATTTTAAGTATTTAAGTGTTAAACGTTAACCGAAAAAAATATTTTAAATAAAATATTAAAAAAGTTGCCAATGCAACATTTCTCATTTTCATTTAATTTAAGTTAAAATAATAAAATAACTAAACTAGATAAAGTTGTATCTGTTAAAGTAATAAAAGTGATGAAGTAATTTTGTACTGTACGAAAAATTATATAAAACTAAACTAAAATCTAGAAAGGTGCCCCCCTCAGTTTTTAATGTTATTTTATTGTATATTATTTTATTTTTAATTTTATTTCAGTGCTTTTAATTCAATGCATTACTAGCTGTTTCTTTGAAGTTTACAGGCAATTTCGAAATGAAAATAGCTTCCACACTACAGTTTTTTGAGTGTGTGTTGCCTGTTACTCTTAAATAAAGCTGTTCTTCTGTAGCTGTAGTGTCAGTATGTGTTTTCATCTGTTTCTCAGAGACTCCTCTGACTCTGGCGGTTCAGGGCAATCTGAGCATGGAAGGGATTCGAGTTCTGGTGCTGAATGGGGCTCATGTGGATTTTAGATCCAGAGACGGACTCACACCCCTCCATAAAGCAGTCAGCGCGCACAACCAATCCGCACTGATGGTACAAACACATGCAGTTCATTCACAGCATGATAGACGAAAATGCATTTAAAGGAATAGTTCACCCAAAAATGAAAATTTGCTGAAAATGTACTCACCATCAGACCATCAAAGATGCAGATGAGTTTGTTTCTTTCGTCAGATTTGGAGAAATGCAGCATTGCATCACTTGCTCACCAGTGGATCCTCTGCAGTGAATGGGTGCCGTCAGAATGAGAGTCCAAACAGCTGATAAAAACATCACAATCATCCACACCACTCCAGTCCATCAATGATGAGTCACTAAACATGAGTCCTCTATCCATAATATTGCTTTATCCAGTGGAAAAAGTCGTCTTGTCTGAATCAGGAGAGAAATCTGCACTGTTTACAGTCCAAAACAGCTCTAAATAAATATGTGGCAGGATTTTGATGTGAGAGACAACAGGAGATGGACTTTTTCACTGGAGGAAGCGTTATTATGGATTATGGACTTATATTTTGGCCAGAAGCAATAGTTAAAAACGTCTTAACGATGGATGTGTTTCTTACAAACACGCAGCTTTTTGCGTCACAAGATGTTAACTGATGGACTGGAGT